GTTCCGGCTATTCTCCTGCCTCAGACTCCCGAGCAGCTGAGACTACAGGTGCACAACATCACGCCCAGATAATTTTTGTATTTTTAGTAGAGACGGGCTTTCATCATGTTGGCCAGACTGGTCTTGAACTCCTCAGGTGATCTGCCCTCCTCAGCCTTGCAAAGCACTGGGATTACAGGCGTGAGCCACTGAGCCCAGCCTCTAACTATTTTTTATACCCATTAATGATCCCCACATCCCCCTACCCACCTCACTACCCTTCCCATCCTCTGGTAACCATCCTTCTACTTTCTATCTCTGTAAGTTCAATTATTTTAATTTTTAGCCCCCACAAATAAGTGAGAACACACAAAGTTTGTCTTTCTGTGTCTGGTTTATTTTGCTCAACATAATGACCTCCAGTTCCATCCATGTTATTGCAAATGACAGGATCTAATTCTTCTTTATGACTGAATAGTACTCCTTTATAAATATAAACCACATTGTCTTTATCCATTCATCTGCTAATGGACACTTAGAGTGCTTCCAAATCTTGGCTATTGTGAACAGTGCTGCAATCAACATGGGAGTGCAGATATCTCTTTGCTATACTGATTTCCTTTCCTTTGGGTATATACCTAGGAGTGGAATTGCTGGATCATATGGTAACTCTATCTTCAGTTTTTTGAGGAACCTCCAAATTGTTCTCCATAGTGGTTGTACTAATTTATATTCCCACTAATAGTGTACAATGGTTCCCTTTTCTCCATATCCTTGCTGGCATTTGTTATTGTCTGTTTTTTGGATAAAAGCCATTTTAACTGAGGTGAGAGCATATCTCATAGTTTTGATTTGCATTTCTCTGATGATTAGTGATGTTGAACACCTTTTCATATATCTTGCCATTTGTATGTCTTCTTTTGAAAAATGTCTATTCAGTTCTTTTGCCCATTTTTAAATTGGATTATTAGATATTTTATTATAGAGTTGTTTGAGCCCCCTATATAGTATGGTTATTAACCCCTCATCAGGTGGGTTGCAAATAACTTGCAAATAACTTCTCCCATTCTTTGAATTGTCTCTGTACTTCATTGATTGTTTCCTTTGCTGAAGCACTTGATTTTGTGTTGGCACATATGAGTTTGCAGTTTTGTCTGGGTCAGTGTTTCTTCTCACGCTATATTTTACATATATGATAAACTAAATCACCAGCTCATTTAGCTCAAGGACTATGAATCAGTTCTCTTTGTATCCCCTACTCTGCATCACGGGTTGGTCCACCTCGTAGGTGTCCAAAACATTGGTTGATTAATTGACTGTTGTCATATTGCACCAAATGCAATGGTATCCAAAATTCCATGAATGATAACTTAGCAAGGGCCCATTTGGTTACAAGGCATAGAAACTCACTCAAAGAATCTCAAGTTAAAAGGATAATTATTAACAGAATAATAGAATGGAAACAAATTTCAGGGTATCTAAGTAGGACTCATGAGACAAAAAATCATTAGGTAGCTTATTTATCTTTCTTTTTCTCTATTTTGTGTTGTTTCTGTTCAAGGTCTATGGGCCCCTATTCTCTGCAAAGTTTTGCTATCCACTGCACACAGCTCCATTCTGGCCATGCCAAAAGGTAGCCTCTACCCTTGAACTTAGATCAGTCATTGATCCTGCTCACTAAGTGTGTTGGGGTGAGGAAGGGAAGTAAAGGAAATCTGTGTGGTATTAAGATTGCCCATTGCAAACAGTTAGATATGGCAGGCAAATTGTCTCAGATTACTGCAACTGTTGTATCTTCAAATGTCAATTCACAGACTTAGGAGATGTAGAATGGAAGCAGGGTGCCATTGGGGACTGACCGAAGGCGCTGCACCTGGAGCACCAACACTCCCTGCTTCTGCTGACTGCCGTAGTGATGGAGCACAGCAAGAGGCATCCAGAAAGTCCAAAGACATAAGTTGTTATCCTAGTTTGCCACTAGAGGTTTATAAAATAGGCAACTGGAGAAACTAACTTTTGAGACTCTTAAGCCTCAGTTTTGGCAAGTCAGTTTTACTATTCAATCTGAGATATTGAGGAATTTCAATGACAGCTTTCCTTATATTGAATTCTTACCTTGGGAAATATGCCCCATTCCCCCTCATAATTTACCGGGAAATTTTAGACATAGTGATTATATAGCTTATATGTGGCCTCAATATTGTACCCCTTTCCCCTCACTCCATCATTAATTTTTTTCTGCGCTCTCCAGAAGTTTCCCAGATTTACAGTCAGAATCAGATTTTATTACAGACAGGAATCTGTTTCCTTGTAATGACCCTCTACCCACCCTTATATAAATGTTTGTTATGAGTAAATAAACGCACATATAAGGGAAGAAACAAAGGGTGAGAAGGAAGGCAAGAAGAAAGAAAGACATGTTATTTCCATATTGTCTGGGTATTTGGTTCATTAGTGACTTTTCTTCCCATGTGATCTGTTGGTAAAGCATTTGATTCATTATCCCAAGCTACGACCTCATGAGAAAGTAGTGCTGCAATACTTAGCATACAAAAAATCAATTTAGTGGGGCATTCACCTAGAAAATACAACACTCTAGACTCCAGAGGTGCTAGATCAAATCTGTTGCTAGAAAATACTATACAAACCAAAAGTATAAACACCAGCATTGCTTATGTTTGTTGGAAAAAAATATTCCACATATTGACATATCAGTTTCCAGTAATGTGTTTGACTAACTCTCAGATATGCCCTCTTCCTGAAAACCTAAAATGCTAAAAACCTAAAAATGCTGATATATAGATAAATAATAATTTGTATATATTAGCAGTCGAGGAGTTTGACAGAATGTTATATATAATTGAATACAATATTTGTAAATAGGAAGATATGCTAAAAAATTATCCAAAATGTAACAGAGGGCAAAAGAGAAATAGAAAAAGTGAAAGAGAAAGCTAAGAGACAGAGTACAGAGGAGAAAGGTCTACTGAATGTCAGACTGGAGTTCCTCAGAGAGAAGAGAGATCAAATGGACCAGAATAATATTCGAACAGATAGAGACAGAGAATTTTCCAGAACTGATGATAAATATTCTATCAGAATCCAGTTAGGAAGCAGAAACCACCATAAACTCGAGCCCAAAATTATTCATATAAAATTTAGTATAAAGAATCAATTAAGTAAAAAGTAGTTAAAGGCTAAGAGAGTAAAGGGGGACTCTGGGGTGTAACAGAGGTAGCAAATGCGGAAAGTCACCAGGCTGACAGAAAAAGGAAACCTGGGGAAACATAGAAACTTAGAGGACGAGTCCACAGAAGCAAGCATCAGAAAGCTCTGATGAGAAAGTACAGCTGCTACAAGAATGCCGGACACCTGAGGAACCCCAGAAATGCCACTGCAGGGATGAGCCATGCATTGAGCCAATAGCTACATGAAGACAGCCACTGCCAGGATAGCTCGCAGGATCGTAAGCCCACAACCAGACCTCAGGGCAAAAACAAGGACATAGTAAATCCCTGCCTCTTTCTGAAGCCTTGCATGTCCCTCCAGAATCTCTCCTTGGCGGAATGTAACATAGGGTCGCTGGCAAAGGAAAATTTTTTGTGCAAAATCCAATTTGTAAATCTATC